ACTCCTTTAATAAATTTTTATGGTAGGTATTTATACTTATTATACCTATAAATATCAGATTTATTCATATATTTTGATGTTTTTGTGATTTCTAATGATCAATGGGACTGTTGATCTCTTTTTTACTAGAACTCCTTTAATAAAATTTTTATCATAGGTATTTATACATATATTTTAATTTTTTTCAGATTTATAATGTTTAATGGGACTATTAATATTTTTTTTAGTAGGAACTCCTTTAATAAAATTTCTATCGTAGGTATTTAATTTTTTTTGAAATTTCTAATGATTAATGGGACTGTTAATCTCTTTTCTTCCTTTAATAAAATTTTTATCATAGGTATTTTTACTTATTATTCCTATAAATATCAGATTTAATTATAGATTTTTATTTTTTGAGATTTCTAACGATTAATGGTATTGATAACTTCTTTTCTTACTATGTACTTCTTTAATAAAATTTTTATCATAGGTATTTATTAGAGGTGGGCGCGGGGCTAATTTTTTATTCACGACCCGCCCGCTCACGGTGGCTATAAAAAAATTCACGCCCATTCACGCTTACCATTAAAAAATTTTCTTCCCGACCTATATTTTGATTAACGACCGTCACTTGCTATAATCTTACACTTTTTTAAATTCATTCTATTATTTCTCTAATTTCATAATCCATATTAATAACAAAAAATAAATATAATCTATAAATCAAAATTTATTTAGAAAAAGAATGTCCATCTTTTTTTATTTCAATTGTGTAGGCCTTTCCTCTAATAAGAGATTGGCTACAGAAAATAACTTTTCACTAGAAGCCGAACAAGCAGCTGACATAATTTTACTCGATAATTTTCTCAAAAAAGGAAATGAATATTCCTTCAAAAACTTCAAAATATTGTCGTTATTTATCTTATACGAATCTTTTAAGTTCATTCTCAGAGCTTTCATCGGTGATGTTGATGCTTCATCAGCATCTAGAAATTCTCTAATTTTTTTTTTAGAATATACGGTCTTTTATGAGTGTAGGATGAATTAGGAAAGTGATAGTTGGTATTGACCATTTAGAATATACGGTTTTTTTTATGAGTTTAGGATAAGTTAGGAAAGTTATAAATGATAATTGGCATCGACTTATGCATATCATCTAATTTTATATCATTTAGCATTTTTATGATTGTTTTATATATATCATTTTCTTCTTTTATTAAAAACCTAAGTCTTTTGAAATTCGGATCTAGAATTAATCCTACTTTATGTAGTGGCTGCATAATAATCTTTTAAAAGAAATCTTATTCTGTGTTTTAAGGTTTTGATTATTATTGTATCACGTTTAGAAGGTATACAAAATTTTTAATTTTTGTTTCCATAGAAAAACTTTATTTATTGTGGGACGAGAATCTGCTCTCAGATTATCCGAGCATTCTTTAAATATTGATAAAAATTTATCTAACTTGCGTATGATACTGATATCAACTGTGGCTAATCTATTTAATTTTTGCTTGCTAAACAAGTGCACCTGTATTTCAGAATATGATTTTAAGAAACTCTGTATCATGATATATACAGAGTTCCATCTCGTTATTCTCGCTATTACATCTTATTTAAGGGTGTGGCTTAGTTTGATATTAGCTGTAGATTGTTTGAAATATTGTACTATTTTTTACACCATTTATATTTAAGGCTATTTCAGTTAAACAATTGTCAAAAATATAATGCAAAATATTATTTAGTATATGGCATATACATGCTAGCGTTTCGTCATCTTTGAGTGCACTTATAAGATTTGCTCCGTTATCACTCACAACTATACATTTATTTTCTACTTCTATATATTCTCTTAAAATTGAATTGACTACACTTTTAATTTTGACGTTTTTTTCATCCATTGCCCTTGTGGCCAAAACAAATGTTTTTAATTTAAAATCCTTAATGATAATATGTCCTGTAATGGTTAAAAAACTTAGATTTTTATAGTCATCCGTCAAGGATCAGTGATTATGGACAAGTAATTATTATTGATCATGCTTTTATTCTTAAATTTTATTTTATGGAATATTTTTGGACCTATAGTATTCATGAGAGTTTTCCTGTTCACAACTTTTATATTTTGATATCCATATGTAACACCAACATTTATCTCTTGGCCTAGCTTTAAAATCCTTCACTTTCTGTTGCATTTAAAGATTTATAACTGATTTTTCTGTAAAAGTTTAAGCAAAATTTAGCATAAAGTCTCGCGATAAAAAATACCTAAACATAAAAAGAAAATAGAACTAACGAAATGATACCGGATGTTGTTTATAAAATGCGGAAGATTTTTACTTTTCATAAATTATTCTTTTTTAAAAAAGAACTAAATTAAATAAGAAAATATATAATATAATTATAAAATTGCAAATTTATAATTATAAAATTGCAAATTTATATTTATAAAAAAACAATTTTAAAAATTAAAATTTCCATGATTCACGGGAAATTTATGTTCACCCCCAATCACGCCCGGGGAAAATTTTGGGAAGGCCCGTCACGCCCAGTCACGCCTTGGAATTTAAAATTTATTCACACTCACGCCGTGACCTACCGTGACAGGATGGATCACGCGTAATTTCACGGCCCGCGCCCACCTCTAGTATTTATACAATATAACTATGGATAAATACTAAAATTTATGTTTATTACAAGTGCATAATTTGACAACAGAAAACATTCAATTATTGTTCATTATTAAATTTTTCTAAAAAGTCGCAAATATAATTTTATTTATTAATGCCTTTGTAGACAATATTATAATGTATTTTATAAATATTTAATTATATATATATATATCGGATTAAAAAATAAAGTTATAATAGTGCGTGCAATAATATTAAAACGATTATGATAGGTTTAGGGTATCAAAATATGAAAGATGATAACTTTGAATTGAAATATTTAATATAAAAAAAATATCGACAATAAATATAAGTTATATAAACTGATAAAAAAAATACACAAAGGAAGAGCTTAGTGTACCATTCAAGCATTCTAATGTAAAAAAATTATGATTAGTAGTATTGTGAACTTTTACCTATAAAGCAATCCACAAATGATGATATAGCAATAGTTGAGGAATAACATAGATTTTGAAATGGGCTTATACTATTTTAATCAAACCAAACTACAATAAAATAATTTGAATCAACATAATATTTTTTTTACTGATATCATAAAAAATTTATAACAAATTTAATTAGATGATGGGCAAAATGTTACCAGTATAGTAATATAAAAAAAATGGGTTAAATGCCAATAAATTTTTTGGAATATAAATATCTGGATATTTTTACCAAATATTCAATAGATCTATACAAATTTCCACAATTGAGATTATTATCACTTTTATTTTATCATCTAATATGAAATTTTTTTCTTTCGGAAACTTTTCGTCCATCATCCTGCATCAATATAAGATCCATAACTTGCTTTACATTTTTTATGATATCAATAAATGTTTGGATAAGGATAAGGAGCGTATTCCTTTTAAGCACGATGAAAGTCTTCAACGTGGTTATTCGTCCTCACCCCTCTAACATCAAGTGTGTTCCACATTTCATATTTGAACTTGGCATTACTGTTAATACTATTTTCAAAATAATTTAAAAAAATCATAAATAGAACTCAATTGAAAAGATTGAGCTTGGCGACACTCAATCATGATAGATGGCACATTTCATTCTAATAAAAATGAGATGACCATTATAATTCGAAAAAATTTGTAAATATTAGGATTTCGCCTGTGCAGTTGGGTTAGGCGATATTCCTGAATACGACTTTCGATGCATTGACAGAAATGGAATTAGCAACCCTTTACAATAATTTTCAGAAAAATTTCCTTGAGGGCTAAAAATACGTCAATTTTAAAATCAATTGTTGCACTTGATGGCGAAAAAAATTAAGCCTAATGACAAACAATATTTTTAAATATGCATTCGAATATTTATATTTTTATATTTATTTGGTAAAAGAATATACGCACAAACAATTAATGTATTGTTTATAATTTTATTTATGGTGCAAAATTGTTTAAAGAGTTTAGGAGTGTCATTAAACCTGCCATCTAAATATATTTCATCTGCCCAACAAAGGCGAGATAAAAGAATACGAGTAGAAAAAATAAATATTAATATTATCAATACAAATTAAAAAATTATTATTATTTATGGTGACTTTATGTTCATCAAGCAATGCTATATCAGCATTTGTGCGAGGTAAAGATGCCGCGTTGATTGAATAATGCATGCCATATTTGTTTTTACGATATCGCATTACAAAGGAATCTAATTTCCTGCTAATATGGTGTTAAAAAAGTTAGGTCAAGGTAAAAAGAATTATATTATCTTCTTTTCTAAAATTAATTATAACTGTGTTAGTTGTAAAATATCTACAATATATATACAAAATTTAATATATCAAATTTGAATACAAATAAAGATTTACAAAGAAATATATAATTAGTCTTGCCAAAATAAGAATAAGAGGATAAAAATAATAAGAATAAAAAGTTAAGCTTAATTATTTAAATTCGCAAAAATAAGAAACGAATAATTATCTATTCAACATTCTCCCTCTTAAAAGAAGCTTTCCCATAAATTCATATAAGCTGTCATTGAGAGCTTGTTGACAAATTGGTTCCTCGTTTTGGCTGTTCTATATCGCACTTAATTTTATACGTTGGCTTGTCCAAATCGTTTTTGAGTTTATAGTTAATTATATATATATAAATATCTGCTGTCTCTAAATAACAAAACTTTATTTATAAGTAGATATAAATTTTATTAAAAAAATTTAATTCAAGTGTAACTATGCAAATCCGAATTCTAATGTCTTATATAATTTTTTTTATTCAAATTTAATATTTAATTTATCATTATTCAATTCATTACAAAATTCATAACAAAATCTCATAATTTTTTCATGTGGATTATTTAAAATCCATATGTTACATTTTTAAATATTGATTTTTCTTTCAAATTCAACTTCATTAATAACTTAGCCTTTAAGTAAACTATGATATAATTATTTTTAAATACTATCTTTTTTTAAAATATAAAAAGATCTCATCTATTTTAAAACATGATATGGGCTCTTAACAATATGCAATCCAATATCATGATTTATGCAATACAGTCATTGTAGCTATAAAGTGATCGTTTTGTATGAATAAATAGCATCGTGACTATTTAAGGTACCCATCTCCTCTTTATAGAATATAATTTTTGTAAATAATAAAATTTAACATTAAACTAAGGCATTAAAGTCTAAATCTTAAAAATATTAGGTACAGTATGGAAATATAGTTGTAAGAAATTTACTCCTTACCACCTAGGAGAATACTATCTACATCATAAAAGATGCATGAAGTAAATAGTTCTTACCACCCCTTCATTCTATTTTTATTTCTATATTATTAAATTAGACAGTATACTTTATTAAATAAAAGAGTCATCGGTTTTTTATTTTGATTTTCTCAAAATTTTTAGTAAATTGAAAAGGGGATTAACACTAAGATATTAATATTAGTTTTGTTAAAAAGCTCGATTTGTGCCAATTTTCAAAATGGGCCAATACTTTAGCTAATATTATGTAAGCATTGAGAATTGACAAATGCCAGCTATGAGCAAAATCTTAAGATTACACAATGTTATTTTGGTTATAGTCTTTATTGGGCCATTTTTTAAAATCGAAATAAATTGGGCATTTTAACAACACTAATTGGTATTATACTTAAAAATAATGGTTTAAGGTCCAGGATCAGTTAAAAGAATAGAGATTTGGGTTTAACCCTTGAATCTATTTTAAACTTTTTGAAATTTAAAGAAGCTTATTCTTTATAATTTATCTTTAAAATAAAATTAATACATAAAGCTATTATTAATGATCAACATTATACAATAAAGGTATTTTCATGATTATTTTTACATAAATATTTTATGGTTAAGAATGCTTTTATAGCTAATTTGACAGTGGGCACCATCAAATAAATTGCTTGATCCAGGTTTGGGGTAGATTCTTAATTAATATAACCAATACATTTTGATTTACTATTTTTTGAAATTAATGGTTTAAAGAAAATTATAGATCTGCAAAATTGATTTCCCAGCCACCTCCTGAAGCTCAATAATAAATTTTTTTTTAACTGTAGCCCAACTTTTTATAAATGGAAATATAAAATATATCTCAAAAATATTTATATAATTCACTATTTTAATTTTAGACATTAAATCTAAATATCAAGCAATAACTATGATAATTTAATGATGCTCATCTATTTAATTTTATTTATTACTCAGGCTGGATATATAGGGTAGGGAACATATATAAATATATAACTTGACCTTGACAGGAAATTTTGCTAAACTGATTATAACTATATATTTGTTTTAACTGCAAAAGCCAGTATGGCATCAAAATACACTTTTCTTAATTGATTACAACTTTTATTCAATTATTTTAGTTAAGAGGGTAGAAAAAATCTATAACTAAACAAATATTAGCAGTTCTATATAACAAACTTTCATAATAACAATGATATTTTTTAACCATTACTAATGCTGACTCAACTTATTTTTATATATGGGATAGAGTTGTTAAACGGCATGTTTTGGCCGATTTTTAAAAACGGCTCACTCATTACTTCATCCAGAAAAATATTATCCAAGCCTGAAGATTTTGCTTTATCGAAATCTTTAGACTTAGGCAATATTTTTCTTGCTAAAATATTAAGTTAGCCGTTTTAAAAAAACGGCTCAAAATGAGCCGTTTAGCAACACTAATATGGGAATATTAATTTTGACTGGACTTTAAAATTTGGGTTGCCACCATCCTGACTGTAGAGGCATTAAATTACAAAATACAAATAAAATTATTATTCAATTCTAAAATCAATTAAAAAAAATAATTTCAAAAAAGTTAAAAATATTTTGTAACATAATTTTATCTAAGTGATTCCATATGAAATCCACAGCTTTTCAACTCCACCCATTGGCGTACGCACCAAAAAATGCAGACGCCGGATATATTTTTTAAAAATATTAATGTTTATATTAATTTATATTTGTTGATACTTATTCCTATCTCATTTTAAATATATATTTAATTACATTTATTTATCACATTCATCTATTAAGTTATTTATCAATTAATTTCGATTTCAAGTTTTCATTGGCGTAATATTTATCTACCATTTTAATATTTTAGTCAAATAATAATTTTTCTGAAACTCCTTGTTCAACAGGGAGAAAGAAAGTGCAAGCTTGTCCAACGAGATGGAGTCTCCGCCATCAAGCAGCTTTTATGGAGTTGGAAGAACCGATTATTAATGCTATTACTGAAATATCACAATGGCCTGAAAGAAATATTTCCTCAGAAACAAGAAAATTATTGGATTCAATACTTATTTCAATTTTTTTTTTCTCATTAGAATGTATTATTTAATTATACAACTATTTTATGTAATACTTTTCAAAAACATGACATTGACTTAATTAAGAAGATGAGAATAGCGGAGAGTTTTATTAGAACTCAAGGAAATTAGGGCTAATGTTGATGAAGAATTTCAATTTTATATGTTATCGTTGAGTCAAAAGGAGAGCTATACGTGTTTAATATTTGTTTCACTCGATTTGCAGCAAGGCAAGCTCATCGTCAAAACATTAGTATAAGATCAGTAGAAAAGTATTATAAAACTATAATCCAAATAAATGAATGGTTTTTAATTCATCATGCAGGACTTACCAATCTGCAGATATTACTTCCACAAAAGCCTTCCCAATCTTTTTCATGATGGTGATAGAAAAAAAATATTATTTGTTTGATGTCTTATTAGCTGAATAACTAACTATGTTTAAAAGATTAACTAAGATATAGTCCCAAAAAATGGTATGGATGCTTTGTATAATTTCAAACACATTTTAGATTTTATTCCCAATGTATTAAAATGATTATATATATTAACAACTCTTCCCATTAGTAAACTAATGAGAGAACATTCTCTTTTTTATGAAGAATAACAGAGCCCTGCAGAGATACAATTTGCAGGGCACGGCCTGGATTTTTTTTCAAAATTTTTTTTCGGCCTGGCCCGGGTTTTTTAAAGAAATTATATTTATTTTTGATTTTTATAGCTAATTTCAAATATTTAGTTTTAAAATATATAGCCAAGCCCGGATAATTTTTTTTAAAAAAAATCAGGCCCTGCCCTGGTGTATTTTAAAAATTAAAATAAGATCCGACCCGGGAACCAGGCCTGCAGTTCTCTGAAGAAGTACAACTTCTGAAAGTGGATTGAATGGTTTGGATCTTTTAAATATTTATAAGCATTTGACGCCAAGCAAGGATGAGTAATTGAAATGATCAGAAGAAATGTTCTAACTAGATGGCAATCATTATTACCGGCTCTCGAAAGAGTTTATAAAATAACATAGCTTTTAATCCTATATATCCCCCAAAATATCCCAATTCAGTATTAGGATAATTTTTGAAAAAGGGTCGAAGTTTATTTAGGTCTAGTTATTAATATAGAGACGACCTTAAACAACGTGGTTAAAAAGTTTCAATCCAAAAATTAATTGTAGAGATCAATAAATACATTACCATTCCCAATATTACTATAACCCCGATTGTTTCTGATACAATCGGTACTTTTGGACCTAGAGCATTGGAATTTTTCATGGCACTCGGCCAAAATATGCGTTTAATTTCGGGGGACCATCAAGAAGGTTTTTACCTATGCCAACATTTCTCAATGAAAATTTGTAGGTCGCATAGCATATCAATCCATGGTGCTATAACCTAGATTCACCTCTTCATGTTCTTTCTCTTTTTTTTTTATTATTACATTACAGTATTTTATTACCTTTTTTTAAAAAAATAAATCATATAGATTTTAAAAAAAAATTAATAATGCATAAATTAGTACGAATCTTATGGTAAATCCAAATTACAGAGATTTTCAGATGACAAGTCATTCATAGATATATTGTAGGTTAGATAAAAGATATACATTTAAATTATTGTTTATAAATACTATCAGTAATAATTCACCTTCTATTTAAATTAAATTGGTCCTGGATAAAATTATTGGTCAACGAAGGTAGAAATCTTGAATTTATTTCTCAAAGAAAAAGCAAACTTTGATTCCTTTAAAAACAACAAGCCAGATTATTTTCTGATAAAGATAGAAAAAAATTTGATGAAGATCTGAATGAAGATTCTTTTGAAGATTATTTATTAAGCTTTTTAAAATGAGGATTATTCTTTATTTTCAATATATTCCAATTAATTTTTATCTATTAAATATAATACAACTCCTCCTCCTATGTTTAGCACGGCGAGAGATGTGTTGAGCACTCTTGTTTATCTGATAAAAATTTCGAAAATCAAGTGTCTAAAAATAATAAAAAATTATTATAAAAATATTATATCAATATATTATTTTTATATAATTTTATTTATAATTTTATTTATATTATATATAGGAAAAAATTATTATAGAAGGATCTCATCTTGTAATATACAATTTTTGTATATAATATTTAATTTTTCAACTAACGAGTAACGCGTTACTTTTTGAATAGCCAGTAACGTGCGTTCCTTTTTTCACAAGGTAACGAGTAACGATAACACACTTTTATTAGACTTAACGAGTAGCGCGTTTTTTCTTTCAAGTAACGTTTGCATTCTAGAATTTACAAACAATAGCTGGGAAAATCTAAGTATTATAACGACGCTTGATAATAAATTCAAATTCGAGGAAGATGAAGATGAATAAATAATAATTAATTTTAATATAAAAGATATTGAATTCAGGAAATATTACTTGTAAGAATTTTAAGGAGATATGTAACAAAAATTAAAAATTTAATTAACAGCATAGAATCTTCTAAAAAATATGAACGAGTTAAATTATGGTTAAATCTGTCGCTTTTGGTTTGAATGAATCGTAACCCTGGTGATAACCCATTAAAAATTTTAATAGAAGATCTTATTTTCTATACAATTTTAGCGATAAAATATCAGGAAAATATTGATTTAAATTTAGGCAAGCTGAATTTTAAATAGAGCCGCAAAATTTTTTGTTATGAACCCCAACCTCTGAGGGAAGGAGCAAGGATTAACTATGTTGATATTAAATATTGGATCAGATTGGCACCTATATTTAGTTTTTTCAAAAAATATCTGATCGGGACCATATTTTTAAGAAACCGATCCGATATTTTTTTTTGGTTTGGTTATTTATGATTGTAAATATAATTTATAATTTTTTTTAACATATAAATAAATTAATGAAAAGAACTAAATTACAGTTTATTTGTTGAAATGTTTAAAAAATAAATTTAGAATATTTTTAACATATTATCTGCAACAAGAAAATGATTTTAAAATAGCTTACGAGTCAAATTCAACTAGTTTTGTTAAATGGCTTGATTTAGCCAATTTTTAAAAACGGTTAACTCAGGATTTTGGCCAAAAGTAATTTACTCAAGCTGATTTTCAATTGACAGAAAGGTTTAGACTTCTATTGACGAAATATCAAGGCTAGATAATAATATTTTGGCTAAAATTTTGATTTAGTCCTTTTTAAAATCGGCCAAAAGGAGCTGTTTAACAATACTACATTCACCCATAAACATTGTAAATTTTAAATGAGATCAGAGACCTACATATACCATTTGCAGGGTCCGGCCCAGATTTTAAAAAAAAAATTTTTTTGGCCCGATCCGGGTTTTTTATTTTCATGCCTGACCCTGATTTTTTTAAAATATATTGCATTTATGCTTAATTTTCATAGCTAATAATGGAGATTTAAAATATATGGCTCGGGTATTTTTTAAAAAAATGTAGACCCGGCCCGGGTATTTAAAGAAATTTTTTTAAGCCCGATCTGGTCTGAATGAGATTATTAACTTTTAGAGAATTAAAAAAAACTAAATACATTTGATCATACTTGAAAGTGAGTTGGTTTTTTTTTAAAATAGAAATTATTGATATTTAGCAGAGACCTACAGGCCCGGCCCTAAGTCCGGCTCGGCCGGGCCGTATTTTAAATTTTTAAAATATACCCGGGCCGATCCGGGTCTGAATTTTTTTTTAAAATACCTGGGTCGGGCCGGGCCGTAAAATTTTTTTAAATAATTTATACAACATGAATTATATTATATTCGTCAATTAGATATGGTTATAATGATTATATATAGTTATGATTAATATAAGGTGGGTGAAAGTTAACACTAGCTAACACTCATAGTATCTATTACATTATTATAGTTTTCCTGCCATGGAATAAATAAGCAAAGGAAAATACATTATTATATAATAAAATATATGTTATATTTTTTATTAATTAAAATATCAGTTTAATTTTTTTATAAATACAATTAATATAGTATATTCTCAAAATATTATTTACACAAATTTTTTATAGTATCAATTTTTAATATACTAAATATCTGTTTAGAATAAAAAAAATAAAATGCAGTGTTGTTAAACGGCTCGTTTTGAGCCGATTTTTAAAAACGGCTAACTCAGTTTTTTATCCAGAAAAATATTACGCAAGCCTGAAAATAGACATATAGTATCGAAATTTCGAGGCTTAGACAATATTTTTCTGGCGAAAATATTGAGTTAGCCGTTTTTAAAAATCGGCTCAAAACGAGCCGTTTAACAACATTAGCTAATATGTTTGCTTATTAAATGATAATACTCGCCGAAAAATATGATAAAATACCAAATAGGTGAATTTTTTGTATATACCAGGTCTAATATAATTTAAAAAAATTCCGAGCCGGGCCTAAAAAATTTTTTTTTAAAAAAAATCCGGACCGGGCAGTGCAAATGGTACCTCTGCAGGTCTCTGATATTTATATGTCATTGCTTCAAAGATAGATGGTAAATAAAAATCAATATAAATATCGGAATCGAATCGTGTTTTTAGTATTGGCTGAAAATATCGGATCGGTGAAAAATTAATAGATCTGTACAACCCTAATCAAAAGTTAGAGCCATATGGGTTGAGTCAATTAAAGGGTTGAGAAAGAGATATGAGTTGGAGTTATTAATGAATATTGATTTATAGACATAATGGAAATTTTAATAAATCAGATGTAGTAACGCCAATTTCCTCAATTGAATCTTAATCATATGAGCGATTCTATATCATTAACTTTTCTAGAGAAGTATAAAAAATTCAAAAATTATATGAAATTTAATTTGAAAATATATGTGTATAATTGATTTTTCCGATTAAGCTTAATATTTTAGGAAGATAAAGGTTAATACTTATCGATTTTTCTCCTTATTCTGAGAGTCAATTTATAATGAATTAACCTAAATTTTGTATAATTTTTTAATAACTAGGTAGGTATAAAAAATATTTAATATTTCTTTAGATTGATTCTCATACTCAGGTATATTTGTGTTTATTAATAATTTATTAGATCAAATTTTATACGTGACTTTTCTCATGGTTTATACAAGTACCATCACACTTAAATCCCCCAAAATTAATTATAGATACATTTTTTTTTTGAAAAAAACTTATAAATGAGGTTAATCTAGATATAAGTAGAACCTCTTATACTGCTTCCAAATAAATAATCCTCCAATCGATTGGTGCTATTTTTTTTTGTTATGTATCCATTTTTTTGATACAATATATAACTAATATTAATTAACAATATATAACCTTCAAAAGATTTATACCTATATCAAATAATGGGCTTTTTCAACGACGAAAAACGTGGCGGTTACGCTTGCCCACGCCTAGTAGATTACTTTGTCATAGTGGGTTACAGCTCTCACCATTTAAATGACGATAATAGTAATATTGCCGGTGGCAATATTAATGACACCTTGTTCCAAGCTGATGAGCTCAATCATACCACCGGCCAAAATAATAAAAATATATTCGAATATTCTCGCGATTACGAGACCCCTTCTCACCTAGAGGCTGAACGCCTAAATCAGGAAGAAAATCGATGGGGTAAAGATTTATCGGGTCCTAGTTTGCTGCGGCGTTTTCCCGAATTTGACCACCCCGACTTTGCCCTACCCCTTGATGTAATTTACTTCGCCCAACCAGAACCCCTGCCCGCTGTTAAAACATCTACCACCGCCACCTCAAATAACTCTTCCAGCTATAACTTATCGAACGATTTATCTCGTAAATCAGATAGTTCCGATATCAGAGAACAAATATCTTTCGTGTTTACCTTAACAGATAAGGATAGTGGTCGCACCCGGTTTGGTATTTGCATCAATTACTATTCGGAAAACCAAAATCGGGAAGTAGCGAGAAGATTACCGACCTCACTGTGCTTACTTAGCCACTATCCTTTCTTTTCGCGGTTCCGCGACACTCTGACTTGCCTGAAGAAAATTATAGATGCAGGGAAGACGTTTTGCGGTGATAACTTCAGCCGACCCGGGTTGAAGTTAGTTCGATTTATTATTTATTTGTAAGATTAAAGGATCTTAACTAAATAAATTCCATTTCTAATCGAAATAATTTTTATTTAACTGTCTAGTTAAAATTTATTTAATTATATTTTATTATTTCATTATTTTTTTTTTTCCTCTTTCCTTTTACTTTTTTAAAACATTTCTTGTTGTATTTTGCTATATTTTATAGTGTATGCAGATTTGGTGGTAAACATTTTCATAATTTCTAATTTATTTGCAAATAAAATTATTTATTGCTAGAATTAGATTCTATGTCTATTTCGTGAAACTTTTATTGTGGATGTCTTTTTTGCGAATTTATTATCGTGAAAACAATAGACTAAAGCAAACATTTATTTATAAGATATACTCTTAATATTTTTTAATCTTAATAAATTTATATAATTATTCAATAGCTTAGAATTGGTTAGAAAATCTACCTGCTAATTTCTCATACCCTTTTAAAACCATTTTAATTCTTTCCCTTTCAATATCTTAAATTATTTGACCCCTAATATCGTTCTTAATCATTCCTTTTAACTGCCACGAGTATATTTTCTCCCAAATAGCCATCTTCTAAATCCTCCTAATTGATTGTTTATCACCAACTTTCACTAAATCTGTTTTCTCTTAGTATCAGGGTTGGAAAGTCGGTCAATTGAAAGAAGGAGTATTTGACCTGGTCAAATACGGTCAATTACTCTAAAATGTTATTGGTGAATAACTATATTGATTTAATTAACTAATATGTATTTAAAGCATGTTTATCAATCAATAAGGTTAAAATATATTTGTATCTTCAAGGCATCGATTTAATTATAATTTTATATAAAAATGTAAAATTTTCATATTAGAATATTAGAATTTCATTTTGAAATATTAAAAAAAAGAATTTTGCTCATAATCTATTCGATTGGATCTCAATATATAAATAAATATAATAAATTTGCTAAAGCATGTATTGAGAAAATTACTAATTGCCAATTTATATTACATTAGGCTTTGGCCAAAATGTTTTGAAAAAATCCATAATATTTAAATTTCGCAAATTAATAACAAAACACTTTGGACACATTTAAGTTTAAAAAAAATTAAAATAAAAGTTATAATAAAAATGCTTGATATGATTCAATTAGTTATTTATTATATAATATTTGAAGATACGATTGAGTATAAAAATAGGCATATATATTTGGAATTCAGGGGTATATTATAATTAAAATATTAATAAATATATTATTCATCATAGAGGTCGGGTTGACTTTCCTGGGTTTGTGTCAGATAGAAGCATTTTTACCAAGAGCCAATTTTATCAAAGAATGATTAATAAAATTATTAAGATACCTAATCCAAATTTCTTACCTTCAACAAACAATCTCCGTGAGATGATGCATATCCTTTATTAGACTTCATAATGAATACCTAATGCCCAAAAAATAAATTATAATAATAAATTATCTTGTGTTAGACTCTCAGTTGAGCGATGTTTTGGGATTTCAACTGCCAAATTTAGGCATCTTCATAAATTATCTGAAACTAACATAGTTGATACAATTCAAATTGTTAAGGCAGATTGCCTTTACATAATGTAATAGATAGATATAGGGCATTCAAAATATAGAGCTAATTTCAAATGAAGAAGGCTCTTTACCAGTTTTATTGAATCTCAATACCATCCCTCAAATGAGAACTCTAATAATGTAAGAGATTCAGTTATTAAACTGTGTATGAAATGAACCTATAATTGATAATGGTGATATTTAAATATTATTTTTATACCTAATAAATACAATGTCAATTGAAGCTATATTTAAATTTAAAAAATTATTTTATGAAAATTTAGCTTTATTTATATAAAATATCCATATTTTTGTATTATATTATAAATATAATAATTTATATATATTATGGAAAAATTATATTCCTAAACAAATGAGCCTTAAATTATTATTTAAGGTTTTCCAACTGTTTATCAAATATTGATACAATTATTTACAACATATATGTATTTCTTAAGTATATAAATAATATTTATATATCACCATTATTAATAATAGGTTCATACAAAGTTTAATAACTGAAATATAAAATAAATACAATTAAATATTTAGATATCTTTGAAATGCGCCTCTTAAATTATTAGAGTTCTCATTTGAGCGATGGTATTGAGATTCAATCGAATCTGGTAAATAGCATTCTTTTGAACTAGGCTCTATATTTTGAATGCCCTCTATATCTATTATTACATTATGTAAAAGGTAATCTGCTTTACATTTTGAATTGTATTAACTATATTAGTTTCAGATAATTTATGAAGATACCTAAATTTGGCAGTTAAAATCCCAATACATCGCTCAACTGAGATTTTAGCAGAAGATAATTTATATTTTGGGCATTTAAATGGCTTTTATAAAGTTCATTATGAAGTCTAATAAAGGATATGCATCATTTCCTACAAATACATATGAAGATATTATGTCTGTTGAATGTAAGAAATTTGGATTAGGTATCTTATTAATTTTATTAATCATTCCTTGATAAAATTGACTCTTGGTAAAAATGCTTCTATCTAAAACAGACCCAGGAAAACCAACCTCAATTAACATGAATCTAGAAAAGAATTAAAATTAATAAAATATATAATAACCTTTCTCTGTGATCAGCTACAGCTTGTAGCACAAGAGAATTAAATATTTTATAATTAAAAAACACAGATCCACTTTTTTAGGTTGTTTTGTTCTCACATGCTTTCCATCATTAGCACCTATTATATGAGGAAAACCAGATTTCCTGGAGTATTCTGCTGATATATCAAGTATTTGTTGAACTGTTGGTAAAAAGAGATGCTTGGGTTGAAGACTTATCCTTAATAATAATATACATGTAACAATAGTAGCTACTGATGATTTGCCAATTTTTGCAAATAAGGTTATTTTTCTATAGCTCATTCCTGTTGTCAAATATCTAAAAATATTAAGCTAATTTATTAAAAAATAAAAATCATACACAAGGGTTATATAAAGCCTATTCTTTATACTAATATTGTTTTTATGGGGTCTCCATTTCCTTCAAATATGTTAGAATATAATTAAAAGTGAATTGTATCACGGAATTTATCAGGATAATAAGGTATAATATCAAATATTTTAAAAAGTGCATGACCTCTATAATGAATAAAATATTTATTAATATTCTAATTATAATATACACCTGAATTCCAAATATTTATGCCTATTTCTATGCAGTGTTGTTAAATGGCTCGTTTTGAGCCGATTTTTAAAAACGGCTAACTCAATATTTCGTCCAGAAAAATATTACGCAAGCCTCAAGATTTTGCTTATAGAAGCAACAAAGGTCTAGGCATATATTATCGAAATCTCGAGACTTAGGCAATATTTTTTTGGCTAAAATATTGAGTTAACCGTTTTAAAAAATCGGCTCAAAATGAGCCGTTTAACAACACTATTTCTATGTTCAGTAGTATCTTCAAATCATTGGCGTACGCAGCGGGAGGAGACAGGGCGGCAACCCCCCCCCCCCCCCCCCCCCCCCAAGCCAAAAAATGCAGATGCCGGATATATTTTTCAAAAATATTAATGTTTATATTAATTTATATTTGTTAATATTTATTCCTATCTCATATTAAATATATATTTAATTACATTTATTTATCACATTCATCTATTAAGTTATTTATCAATTAATTTCGATTTCAAGTTTTCATTGGCGTAATATTTATCTACCATTTTCATATTTCTAGTCAAATAATAATTTTTCTGAAACTCCTTGTCTAACAGGGAGAAAGAAAGTGCAAGCTTGTCCAACGAAATGGAGTCTCCGCCATCAAGCAGCTTTTATGGAGTTAGAAGAACCGATTATTAATGCTATTACTGAAATATCACAATGGCCTGAAAGAAATATTTCCTCAGAAGCAAGAAAATTATTGGATTCAATACTTATTTCAATTTTTTTTTCTCATTAGAATGTATTATTTAATTATACAACTATTTTATGTGATACTTTTCAAAAACATGACATTGACTTAATTAAGAAGATGAGAATAGCGGAGAGCATTTTATTAGAACTCAAGGAAATTAGGGCTAATGTTGATGAAGAATTTCAATTTTATATGTTATCATTGAGTCAAAAGGAGAGCTATACGTGTTTAATATTTGTTTCACTCGATTTGCAGCAAGGCAAGCTCATCGTCAAAACATTAGTATAAGATCAGTAGAAAAGTATTATAAAACTATAATCCAAATAAATGAATGGTTTTTAATTCATCATGCAGGACTTACCAATCTGCAGATATTACTTCCACAAAAGCCTTCCCAATCTTTTTCATGATGGTGATAGAAAAAAAATATTATTTGTTTGATGTCTTATTAGCTGAATAACTAACTATGTTTAAAAGATTAACTAAGATATAGTCCCAAAAAATGCTATGGATGCTTTCTATAATTTCAAACACATTTTAGATTTTATTCCCAATGTATTAAAATGATTATATATATTAACAACTCTTCCCATTAGTAAACTAATGAGAGAACATTCTCTTTTTTAAGAAGAATAACAGAGCCCTGCAGAGATACAATTTGCAGGGTATGGATTTTTTTTCATAATTTTTTTTCGGCCCGGCCCGGGTTTTTTTTAAAGAAATTATATTTATTTTTGATTTTTATAGCTAATTTCAAATATTTGGTTTTAAAATATATAGCCGAGCCCGGATAATTTTTTTTTGAAAAAAATCAGGCCCTGCCGGGTCTATTTAAAAAATTAAAATACGATCCGACCCGGGAACCAGGCCTGCAGTTCTCTGAAAACATATCTAAGAAGTACAACTTTTGAAAGTGGATTGAATGGTTTGGATCTTTTAAATATTTATAAGCATTTGACGCCAAGCAAGGATGAGTAATTGAAAAATTAGGTCAATCCCAACGAAGATTGGATTTTACATTGTAAATATAATACAAAATACAATTATTCCTAAGAAACTTTTTGTGTATTAATATTTATATTTCCAACATTAAATTTTTTTACTTTATATATAAATTTTAAAGGCTCAAAAAATTCAAATTTCTATTTTGGGTCATTTAAGTGATTCATATGGTGGTTATATTCACTTTATATTCTTTAATTCACATTTATTTTATAGTTTTTTATGTGCCGGTTTATATATATTATTTTTTTATAATTCATATAATTTAAAATTGTGTATTAAAAATAGTTATTAGTCCTAATAAATTTATGCTTGATATTTTTAAATAACAATAATATTTCTTAAAAATATTTATTAACCCCCCCCCCCCCCCCACTCCCAGACCAAATTCTTGCGTACGCGCCTGCTTCAAATATTATATAATAAATAACTAATAATTGAATCATATCAAGCATTTTGAATATTTTAATTTTTTTTAAAACTTAAATGTGTCCAAAGTGTTTTGTTATTATTTTGCGAAAATTATAAAATTTTAAGGATTTTTTCTAAACATTTTGGACGCAGCCTGAAGAAAAAATATTAAAGATACGTTTGAAAAAGATAAATCCAAATACATGTGACACGCTGAACTGCTGATGATTGGATCCCCAATATAAGAGGATCATCTTACTGGTGGATGCAGGAAGTGATATAATATAAGAATATTGCATTTTACAAGATATTTTAGTGATATCATAAATTTTAGATGAGCGACGGTATATTTATTAGAAAAATGTAGAAACCAGTATTCCTAAAAACCAATCAGATTTCGGCCTCAAATTAATGGAGTGGGCTGTGCCCATTTTGAACATTAAGAGAAGTGTCTAATAGTTTACTAACAATTCTTAGTTATCTTTTTTAGAAAGAAATTTGTCTGTTTGGGGCAATATTCATACGAAGAGAAGAAATTGTTTGAAGATCTCGTCAACCATAAATTTCGTAGTATATCATAACCTAAGATTATTAAGAATATTGAAGAAAATGATAATAATGAATAGAGTGAAACATTAATTATAGAATTTAGAAAAATATAATTTTACATAGATTCATTTTTTTTACTATTATATATAAAATAAAGTTAATATTGTCTTAAAAAACATTTATTTGAATTAGACCATATTTGGCTGGTTATCGGTTAATTAACCGAATCCTATTTGACCTGTCAAATGCACAACCCTGCCTAGTATTCCTATAAATTGAAATGGGCCTGTAAGGCATTCATCTGAACTTTTAATATGGTTTTCGTTAGTTGTTTCTCTTTATTATCCATCTATATCACAAGCAAAACTGAAAAAACCGACCCTTTGGCGTCCAATTCCACCATATAACTGTTTATATAATCGAATTCTACTCCATACCAGTTTCTACTTCTTCTGTGTATTCCATAATTCGTAGTGTTTATAACTCTATAGCTGATAACGATAACTTCCGACCAATATTTTATAAATTTCTTAAGATACCTGACGGATGTAGCGGTACTTGTGTTAAACAGCACTTTTATCGTAGTGTTATCTGCCATAAGGTTTCCAGTAACCATACATATTTTTCTTTGCAATCTTTTCCCAATTTATTTAACCCCTACGAAAGAATTTGTTATAATTGTAAAATTTTGCTTAAGTGTATACATTTTCATCAATGGTAATAAATGTATATTTACCTCTCCCTCTGGGGTTTCCAACAAAGGTTCACCTCTACCTCTCTTTTAAAAAAATATTTTACAAGGAATTTTATGGTTATATATTTTTTACATGAAAAATGTCTCACATCTATGCCTCTTTTTTAATATTTAAAATCGATTTGGTCCATTTTTTTTATAAACCTCATCTTACTTTCTCGCTATATTCCACAAATCGCCGATTTACTACATATATTCACTACTAACTTAATTCTTCAATATTTTGTTTAAATTTATTTAGGACCGCCTCTCTATCTATTCTTATCTTTGCCCTTTCTTTCTTTATTTAATTATAATTACATATTTTTTTACAGCGCTGAAGATGCACTATGGAATATGTTGATTTGCGAAATATCGGATAGAGAAAATTTCGAACCCATGATTATACACATTGTGAATATGATAGAATCCTGGATATCAAGATTTTTGGATGCTCCTGTTCCCATCCCTGGAAAAACAAAAGTTCAAGTAAAATATTAAAAATGCGTTAAAAACATTACAATTGCCAAATTTATTTTAAAGGTAGATCGTGGTTAGTGTTGTTAATTTGCTTGGTCGTAAAATTTACCCCGTGGTTTATACCTCTGGTTTAGACCCGGGGTTCAGATAAACGAAAACTAAGAAAAATAAATTTCATTTACTAATCTTAAATTAAATCTTATTATACATTCTAATTATAAATTAGAGCTTTGTTTATTGTTTTATTACACATTAATTAATCTCATTTTCTTGCCATTTAAATATTGATTGGAATCAATTTGACCTAGCCATTTTATTTCTTCCAGACTACGTTAAATTCACATATATATTAGTTTATATATTATATAGTACAACCTTCTTCAAAACTTTTGTGGGGTTTATAGAATTAAAATACAACTTTAAAAAAAATTCTTAGTTATAATATCGATAATTAATTATTTCTTGAACATATTATTTTTTAAAATTTGCCATAACATAATTATCCTTAACAATCAGCATGCATTTTTTTAATAATAATTATTAATTATTATTTTTCAGTGTTGTGATGATTTAATAAACATGTTGATTAAATTAAAAATAAATCCCTTTGAGATAGAAATATTTTGTTTATGAAAATATTAAAATAACACACTTACTTTTAAAAATTTGGAGTTGAAAGAAAATGTCGAGAAAAACATTATTTTTTAAAAACTACCGATAATTTAACTTTAATTAATATTAAAGTTAATTCTTTTTAAATTTTACGACAATTTTAATTTTAAATTTCTTCAAACTAAATATTATTTTAGCCGTTAAAAAATCGGATAGACCAAGTTTTTAGCCGAAAACTATAACTCTGGCTTTGGAGTCTTTCTTAAAAAGATAGAGGCTCAAATTTAGAAGAAATTAATATAAATTAAAACACCTTAATGTTAACGGATTTTCTTCGGCAAGCGCCTGAAGATTAAGCCAAGTTAGCCTTTATTTAGCCATTATTCAGTTATAGCTTAAACTATATAAAAAGTGTAAATTGATTTTATATATTTTGACTTCAGAATAGGCAGGAGAACCCCCCCCCCCTAAATAAAACTAATATTCAGAAGTATTCTAAATATCCCATTCAAGCTAAATCTTGTCGAATTTAGGAACTAATGCTATCAAATGTACTTCTCCAAGATACATTTCTAAAATTATAAAAAAAATTAATATTAAAAAATAAGCGATGAAATTAAACAAATTCGGCTATAAAGTTCGCACCTAATTCTGAACTAGTATGGGGCATAGCAATTAAGCCTGGGCATGCTGAAACGTTTTAAGAAAGTTTCCATGGCCCATCCACTGGTTTGTTGTTTTGAATCTATTTTTTTAATGCCGGGAATTATTTTAAACCTCAAAAAAAGAAAGGATTTATATTTTGATTTAAAAATTAAAAGAAAAGAAAATAATATCTAATATGAAATTAAAGAAAAATTTAAATTGTTACTGGATATATAAAATCCAAATGTGTTATTCATCTGAACCCTGGGCCTGTGCTCGAGGTTCATGCTCAGAGCTGGTTTAGTCGATTTTTAGACCCAAACTCCGGGTCTGGGTATTACACAACCAACCAATTAACAACACTAATCGTGGTAATCCTTTTTTTTCAAAAGTTTTTTCTATCGTGTAGAAAGTAGTAATGATCAAGGGTTTGACTGAACAGCAAATGTTGCAATATTTATATTCATTATTAATTAAGTTCTGATTTCATACTTCAAAAATAAGCAAGCAATTTAAATGAAATATTGGATATATTAATATATAAATTAATATATAATTATTTTCAAAATTTTTATTTAAAATAATTGGGCAGGGCCGGGCCTAATATTTTTTAAAAAAATTCGGGCCCGGTCGGGTCGGACCTTGGAAATTTTTTTATTATCAATTTATATTGAATTTTTTATGTAAAATAAAAATATTTGATTTTATTTTTTAAAACTAAACGACATATAACATATGTATTTATTTTGAGTAATTATAAAAATTAATTTCTATATTTAAATAAATTCGGTCCCGGCCGGGCCGATAAATTTTTTTAAATAAAATTTCGAATTCGGGCCGGGCCGGCAAAACTTTTTTAAAAAAATTTCGGATTCGGGCCAGACCGGCAAAACTTTTATAAAAAAAATTTCGGACCGGGCCGGGCTTGAAAAATTAGGCCCGATGCAGATCATTATCTTAAATACAAGACACTTTTATAAAATTATCATTACCAATTTAGAATAGTTATAAAATATAATTTTTATTATTTATTGGTGAAGAACATAACATAAGCATATAATAAGAATGAATATTACAATAATTAATAGAATATTTAATGACGAGTTAATTATAATAATTAAGCCATTTATTATTAGTTTTAGCCCATGCATAGCATAGTCAGGGAAGGGATACTAGTATTTTTAAGGTGAGTTGAAATAATAATTTGCAAAAGAGTATTTAAAATAGAATCATTATTTTTTAAGATAATCAATTTTTCAAATAATTTATCATTAAACCTTTGCCGTTTCGGTATATTTTACATTGTGCCAAAACTAAATAACCTTTCAACTGGAGCTTATTAAGATATTGCAGTATTATATTTAAAGAAAACTCCTTAGTGGAAGGATAAAAGTAAGCATTTCTAATGTATTTCGACGGTCTTTAAAATAATTTAAAATCCAGCTCAATTTTATTTGTATTATTGAACTCAGTAACATTTGTTTCACCAAAAGAAAAATGATCATCATTTTCTGTATTAGATATTAAATCTTGATGTTATAGTTTGAACTTGATTATACACTACTGGTACTAAATTTAGTGCTTCTTTTAATAATACAAAAGTATTTTTTTTTTATCATCCGACAATTCATAAGTTCTTAAAATATAGATGGGATAATAGTGCCACAAAAGCCTCGTTATATTTATCATCATAAGAAAAAAATTCCCCAAATCTTTTGTATCTTGGACAACTTTTAATAAAGGTAGAAAATATTTCAACTTATGTTTTAAGTTTACTTAAGTCCCTTTTATCCACAAATAGTATGGGCACTAATTCTGTTCTACTCTGCTCTTGTAGTTTGTCTAAACAATATCCGCTTCTTTAAATGGGACAATCAATTATTTCAAATAATAAATTAAAATGAGATTTATATTTTAACAGTGAATTCATACTATCCTATAGGCTATTTCAGATGATTATGCAAGGAAATTTTAGCTGATTGCTTGTTATCTCCCTTATCTTTTCAGAAGATTTGAGCCTTACACTTGCATTCCATAATACACATTTTCCATTACTCCATTTCAATTTTATTTTGTGTAATTATTGGTTTTATTTTATTAATGGCATTAAATGAAGCTGAAATAGTGGGTTGAATTTTTTTTATTATGGTAGAGTTTGCTTTATATTGGGTATGCTTAAATGGTATTTCTAATTTTTTTAAAAAATATATAATTATATATTAACTTAAAATTATCATATAAATAATATATAATATGTTTAAAAAAATTTGCAGAGGAGTATGTTGAACCCTTTATCATTTTTTTGTGTTTACAGGTTTGACATTCAGCTTATACATTTTCTTTTGACTTGAACTATTTAAAAAATTTTGCATCTAAAATTTTAGGATTGGGATTTGATTCAGGGGAACTTATTTCCATAATTTTCCTTTCACTTCCTTCTTCATTACCATGAGTGTTAATCATAGTTTACAGTGATATTCTTTATATCACAATTTATTACTGGATTATTAAAAATTTTGGGACAAATTTTTTAAATTTTTTCTCTCAACAAGGGTAATTATTTTATTAATTTATATAAATTAAATAAATAATATTTTTCTAAAAAATGTGTTTTATTTTCATTAAAATTTATTTATTATTGCTAACTAAAATTAAATCATTAATAATTTTAAATTTTGGTGGCCAAAGATTTTTTCTAGGGGCCAGGTTTGGGGGCTAAAAATTTTTTAGGGAGCCCGCCCCATAGCTAACAGCCCTGCTCTTGATATACCTTTTCCCACAATAATGATTCACAAAAATTTACTTATTTTCCTCATCATCTCTTGAAGACATTCAACTACTTCAAAACGAGTTAAAATTGACTGTCACGAATGGCTGGAAGCCTTGCCGAGCCAAAACCTGGTGATCTTAACCAATGAGAAACTAAGAGTGACATAAGATTTAGACTCGGATGCAACCCAGTTAAATGACACTCTTCAATAAACAAATTATTTTGCCTCCTTATAAAAAAGGCTCACATACCTAATATTCTACAACCTTGCAATTTTTCAACAGATGACGGCTTAAGACCGGCCTGACCACTATTCCATGGAATGGTCAAATCTCTTATTTGGGGGTCTCATCTTTCCACACCAATATAAATAGTAACTTGCTTACTCTAGCAAAGACTAAAAAAATAAACAAAATAGAAACCTCAGCAATTTTATACGTCAATTGCAACTTCTATCTATATTTCTTAGTCTTCACATTAGAAACAAATTAACTCTTAATTAATAAAAATGTTATATAAAATTATGGTTATTTGCTCAATATATCAATGCTAAAACAGAGGGAAAAGAGTTACATGGATGACATGGTTGGCTCTATGCTGATCCCAAGCTTCGTAAACCGTACTCATGAACTACCGAGCAAAATCGAAATTAATTTTGCACACATATCTTTAACTAAAACTATTAAGCTACTAAAATATTCAGGCATAAATATTGAAAGAATATGAAGTAATAACGCTTTTTAAATGACTGGGGTCTGCATAGTCCCACTCCCACCTGTGTTATGAAAGTTTAAATAATAATCATATTTCTACTACGTGATTTTGATTTATAAAAATATCAAAAAATAAAACATATATATATATATATGTAGTGTTATTAAAGGGCTCTTAAAAACGGCTAGCTCATTATTTTAGCCAAAAATAATAACGCAAGCCTGGAGATTTTGCTCATAGATGAGTGACAGAAATGTTTCGACTTTCT